GATCACTCATTCCAGGACACTACTGAAGTTTACAGTATAGTAGACATATTCCAAAACAGAATTTTAATTTGCCTTTAAATACAGCTGCTAGAACTCGCTACATTTCTTTTTAATAAAGTAATGGCTACAACCTTAAAGGAAAAGGCATTTAAAAATCAAAATTACTCATATTCCTACAATTTAATCTCAAACAGCTATTTCCCATTTTGCAGATTACTTTATTAATCAATTTTCACATTTATTTTATGTCCTTTTAATCACGCACACTTATGATTTTGGTATTCTCCTTTTGTTTTCAATATATCAAATAACAATAACAATTTGATATATTGTTTACAATATATCATAAGGATTTGTCCACATTTTCACAAAGATGTTTAGTAATATCTATAAATGATTACATCATGTGCTAAAACATAATGTATACAGTTCATGTTTTAAATTCAAGGCAAAAGCTCTATCCTGCCATTGTGACACGAAAGGAGACAGGAAGAATGAAGGGTTGGGGTCTCAGAAGATACAGGAGTAAGTCAGTTGGAATCAAGTCATTTCCACTTCCTCCTGCTCTGAGATGGAGGAAAGACACATGACAGTGGTCAGGGCTTTGGGCTGGGACAGCTCAGAGCGTTCTGCCGCCATAGAGTCTCAACAAATCTCTGTTGGGGAGTCTGGTATCTGATAAGCAATCACATGGCACTGTCAATATTAACCCAGACCTTAAAGATATCTGTGTGTACGACGTGCACACGCATTTGTACGCATGGGCACCACAGCTGGTGAGTGGAGGTGGTAAGACCACTCTAGCTGTTAGCCCTCACCTTCTACTTTGTTGAGACGGGGTCTGGTTGGATTGTATATGCCAGGTTAGCTGTCCCTTGAGTTTCCAGAGAGTCTCCTGTCTCTCCTCCCCCAGTATTGCAGGAACACTAAAATTACAGGTCTGCACCATGACCTCTGGCTTTCCTTGGGTTCTGAGCTCTCACCTCAGCTCCTCACATTTGTACAGCAAGTGGTTCACCCACCCAGCCCTCTCCCAAGCCCTAAACCAAGACCTTCAATGGTCTTCACGATGTCCCATCTCATCCCACAACATCTCCATCTGATTGACATGGCATGTCCTCCTTCAGCTTGGTCTTCACGACAGAAGTGGAAGCCCCACAGGCCACTGTCCCAGCCTCCCTATAGTTCGGGACAGGGAATATGGACCCTGCCTTCTGAACACTAGCTTAAAAAGGCAGAGACCATCCCGAAGTCATAAGTGTCACTACTTTGAGGCCATGCAGGTCACAGGAGCCACAACGGTGGCTGAGCCACCACTTTTTCTTGCGTTAAGAAATGACTTTAGCAGCCTCTGGGTTCTGTGCTGTAGCTGTGGCCACTGCCCAGAGCTCTTGGCACACTTGATAACTTAAGCACACCTGGCTCAGCAGCTTTCTGGCGAGTCTAAGACACATCAGTGTGTTGTCGATACACCTCCTCAGATTTCAATTAGTGCAAGCCCTTTCCGCTGTCTCCGGCTCAGAATGCCTTCTGATTCAATCTTCGTTTCCTACGCCCATCAAAAGCCATCCAGAGAAAATTGAAAATCCATTCCCACGGAGACATAATGACGCCCTCTCTTCTTTGTACAAGATTTTACTGCTTGCGATACTCCTTTTTCATCATGCAGCCTCCTCATTTGACTTGTTAAAATCAAAGTGATCTAATCTATGCCGCATTTTCGTCATGTCCAGTTTTTTTTTGTTTTTTTTTTTTAAAGTGGAGTCCGGAGCAGCTCAGTGAGTGACCCAGAGTAACACAGTAAATCAATGTGTCTCAGGGAGCTGCCACCCGCCTTCGCCTGCCTTGTTGGAAAAGTGGGCACTAATTGGAAATAGGATGTCAGAATAGCAGAAGAGAGATTGATTACAAGTGGGCAATGATTTCTGCCAGCTAAAATGAAAACAAAGATCTTCAGCGCACATGTGTGCATGCTCTCCCACATGTATGTGCGCATGGGTCCACACATGTACACACACACACACACACAACCAATTTCCCTTTTCAGCATTCTCATTACAGGACGCTAAGCCTCCTGTGACTTGGCTAAGCACCAGTCGAGCAGAAGCACACCTCTGATGAGCTTCTATTTCTGTCGCACCAAGTGTCCTGTCCAAATGGACTCGAACCGTCCCTCCTTGAGTGGAAATGAGTCACACCTGGAGACTGATGAAGCGAAGAGGACACAAACTCTAGTCTCCTCAGCTAACACAGGGCATGGCTACCTGAAGGCGAAGGGCGCCAGGAGCAAATGCAGGATTACCGTGGAAACAGCATCCACAGTGACACTAGAAGACAGCCCCTGGGGTCTTCCAGGCAGGTTCCTGACATTTCGAGGTCAGCACCTGCTTCTGTAACCGCCACCATTGGGTTCTGGCCCCCAGACGTTGATGCCCCAGATGTGATCAGAAGAGAAGCATGTGGAACCATGTAAAAAGTCGACTTGCCAAATATACAAGAATGATTCTGGGTATAGCCAGGCCTGGAGATCTAGCCAGGTTATATCAGTTCAGGTTTCCTCAAGAGAGAAGCCTGAGACAAGGAGGTGAGTACAGGTGTTTTACCTGGAAAATGGTTCCAGGAAGGAGTCAGGGAATGGCTTAAAAGGGGAAAAAAATTTAAGAAGTAGAAAAAGACAAGATTTCCTGAGTAAATTGGAAGCATGGGGGCCATGGGAGAGGGTAGAAGGGAGGGTAGAGGAAGGAAGGGGAACAGAGAAAACTGTATAGCTCAATAAAATCAATTAAAAAAACATTTTAAAAGACGATAAACCAGTGGTTCTCAATCTTCCTAATGCTGTGACCCTTTAATACAGTTCTTCATGTTGTGGTGACCCCCAACCATCAAATTATTTCATGACTGTAACTTTGCTACTGCTATAAATCATAATGTAAATATCTAATATGTAACCCATGTGAAAAGGTCATTGACCCAAAGGGGATCACCACCCACAGGTTGAGAACCACTGTGCTAAAGTCTATAGTAATAATAAAGTATAGATCTTCCTTACTGGTAAGGTAATATTAAGGGAATATTAAAGGACCAGGAAAGGATGGGTGCTCCACGTCCCTTGGTCTGCATCCTTCTGGGCTGTGTTGCTCTGGATTCTGTCTCCCTGGGGCCTGTCTAGGTGTAAACATAGGTGGGTGTGACAGACCCAAGTCTTCTTTTGCTTCAGATTCATCCCAAGGCTGATGCAACCTGGGATCAGGCCTGGCTATCCCGTCCTGGTTTGCTTCACCAACAGAAGTCCTTTATAAAGAAAACTTGATGTTGCAGAACAGGCAGCTCCGAACTCGGTAATAGATTTTCTCCCATTGTAAAGTTTTCAAAATGTCTCTAAAAACAAAACTAAACTAAAACCTTGTAGGGCGTTGAAGGGGATCATATCCCACCCTAAAGCTGCAGACCATGGTGGGCTGCCACCCAGCCAGGGAAAAGACCAGGCTCACCCAGAACTCTTTAGGAATCCAGGAACAAATAAATCCTGGGTGCTCAGCATCAGTTTTCCCCGTGCCTGGGAAATGCATTCCTACTATCCCCCTTCCTGTTTCTTGACCTTTCTCGGAGATTCTAGTAAGGAGTGTTTGAGTTATCTGTGCCATTCAATATTCATTCATTATCTACACTATTCATTCTTTCAGTGAAAATTAGAATAAAAATCAGAGCTGTTTAGACTCCCAACCCACGTGAATGAGAGCCTTGCCTCCTCTTCTGCGGGCCTGAGCTGGGAGATTTAAAGTCAAATCAGGGTGGTGAGATTCCAAAAGTCATCAGGTCTGACCTCCCTCGCTGCCACCGGGAGCTTGACTCCTCCTCCGGCTTCCTGCTCCCGGTGGGCCAGGCAGGCTGGGCCTGTCTTTAATGACAAGCCACTCACCACCTTCTAGGCAAGCCTCTTCCACCAAAGATCAGCTCTTACAGGACACATGCAGTCTCGCTGCCTAATTGTTGCTTCTCTTTCAACGCACAACTCTGTGGCCACTTAATATTTACTTTTGCCCATCCCCATGGTGAGATTTCTCTACCAGTTCCAGGTACTTCATGGGCCCGTCTCGAAGCTCTGCTGCCCTTCTGCGTGTATTTTGAGAACCTGTGTGAGGAAGAGCACAATTGTTCAGGGGAACAGAGCCTGGCCACTGATACTGTAGGATGCTTGGTACAATGTAAGGTAGCGATCAGCACTGTAGAGCAATGGGGAGGAGTGGAAGAAATGGGAGGGAGAGAGGAAGGGGAGAAGGAGGGAGGGAAGGAAGCCGGAAGCAAGAAGGGAAGCCAGAGGACTTTCGCACAACAAGGCAGGCTGTTGCTACGTGGCTCACCTGCCTCCCTGTGGTAGTTTGAATAAAATTGGCACACACACCCCCTGGGCTCATAGGGAGTGGCACTAGTAGGAGGTGTGACCTTGTTGGAGTAAGGGTGTCACTCGGGGTCTTTGAGGGCTCATATGCTCAAGCTATACCCATTGTGGCTTGTGGACCCAAGATGTAGAATTCTCAGCTCCCTCTCCAGCCCCACGTCTGTCTGCACACCGCCATGCTTCCTGCCATGGCAATAATGGACTAAACCTCTGAAACATAAGCCAATCCTGATTAAATGCGTTCCTCTATTTTTCCCCATTTTGGCATACGCACAAACTAAAGATCAAAGAGGCTTGCCCAAAGTCAGATTCAGTATCATGTAGAGGGTTGGAGAGGTGGCTTAGTGGTTTAGAGCAATTCTTGATTTTGCAGAGGACCCTGGTTCCATTCCCAAAACCCACATGGTAGCTCTAAAACCACCCACAACTCTAGGAGATCCGATGTCCTCTTTTAAACTCTGAGGGCACTAAGCACACACATGGGACACATACTTAGAAGCAGTTAAAAGAGTCACACACATAAAAATATTTAAAATGTATATCATGCAGGGAACATTGTATTAGTTAAATGAGGCTCTGTCTCATCTGTTCCTCTCCGCTTTCCACACCCCACAAGAGGGAAACTGAGGACAAGAGAATTGGCTAAGTGGGTGACCCAAGGTCACACAGATGACAAATGACAATCTATGAATTCAAATCTCGGTTGCTCAGGCTGTCACACGGACACTTGTGGGCATTTGATTTCTGTGGGAGGTTTCCTCCTGCACCAGTGAAACGCCCTGTTTAGATAACACAAATAATCTGCCTGAGAAGTCTGTTCTTGCTCTAACTCCTCAGTCTGCAGAGCTCTGGAGCACAAAGGCTTTCTCAGGCACCTGATAGAAGCGATGAAAACATTTCCCATTGTCTTCTCAGTGCTGAGCTGAAAACTGCTGGGCCAACAAAGATTGGCTCTGGGCACCACGTCTATATGAAGGAATAAATGCTTTATTTAAAAAAAATGAAAGAAAAGGCACTGCAAGCAGAATACAAAATTACATATTCACTGTGATTATTGCTGAGTTAAATCACACAGGCATAGAGACAAAGACTAAGGGGAAAATGAACTTAAATCAGTTCTAGGCAACAAGATGGTTTGCCTTTCTTAGAGAATGTATTTTAGACGTTTAACACGTTTGTGCCCTAACAGAAGTGGATCTGAAATACAAAAGCTCTCCATGCGGTGGTACTCACCTAAAATGCAGCTTCAAGGGTCTCTGAAGTCACTGAAGTTGGTCATGTTTGACCCTGACCGGTGCTGGTAATGGTCACTGTGGAGACAGGCAGGCGGGAAGAGGGAGGGGAGTTCTGTTACTCCCCCCTGCGGTTTTGCTGTTGCTCCCTACTGTGACATTTTGAGGACAGTGTACCCAGAATCTCCTATGTTGTATGCTTCCTCTGCAAGTCAGCTAAGTTCGTTGAGTACCTGCTATGTACTGGACCCTAGGCTGAGAGAAAGAGAGAAAAAACAAAAACAAAAAAACAGTAGACAGGTCCTGTCTGCGGGAGCTCCATCCTTGTCTCTCTAACTCCTCACTTCACCCTAAAATAGAAAGGCTCCCAGAATGGGAGCCCCCCTCCTCTGCCGTCCTCTCCTGGGTCTAGCATCTAGATGAGGCCAGATATCCAGCAGTCTCTCTGTATATGTTAGTGAACAAATTTCAATGTATTTTACAGCTAATTTCATGAACAGGTTTCTCCATCTTGGGCAGATCTCTGTTTGCATAATCTCCCAGGCCCATTCTCACTGCTGCATAAGAGGCTGTTGAGGATAGAGTTGAGTCTCATTTTTGTAGGACCACATCTGGCACATCTGGCACCCAAAGAGCTCTTTCGACAGCTCGGTTGGGGTCTGCTGAGTTCTCTCAATATTACTCATTCCTGGAAGAGGTTCGGCTCTAATGTCAGCTCCCTGTGGACTTCTGAGACATTGTACTATGTTCTCAGTCCTTACATATTCCCAGAGGGAAACTGTTGGAGCCATAGCAGGATTTGTGCCATGATTCCATATCCCTTCTAGCTTGCTTCTCTTTACCCATGATCCTGTTCGATTTCAGACTTCAGTTCTCTTTGGTTGACCAGAGAGGGTGAGGAGAGGCTAGCTCAGGAACTTAAGAAGGGCCATCCTCCTGTAGTCACGTGAGAAGCTGGTTAGCAGGGTGCCTCTTTCAGAGGGAGATACTGATGTGTCCTCTGTCTGCCTTTCTTCCTCTCTGTGTACATAGACAGAGACTGCTCATTCGTTCCCCATTGCCTGGACCTGAAATAATCACACAGAAACTATATTAATTACACCACTGCTTGGCCAATAGCTTAGGCTTTTTATTAACTAACTCTTATATCTTAAATTAACCCATTCCTATTATTTTATATTTTACCACAAGGCTCATGGTTTACCAGTAAGGTTTGTCTGGTGTCTGTCCCTTTGGCAGCTACATGGCATCTCCCTGGCTCAGCCTTCTTTCTCCTAGCATTCAGTTTAGTTTTCCCACCTATCTCTATTCTGCCCTGCCACAGGCCAAAGAAGCTTCTTTATTAACCAATGATAAAAAAAAAACATATTCACAGCATACAGAGGGGAATCCCACATCATGTGGATGTGTGTGTTAGAAGGCAAACAGAAAGTTAAGACTTAAACTTCTTCATGATAAAAAATAAAAGAGCCTAGAATGCATCTCCTAATTCTTTTTCAAGTCTTCCTGAGTAATCTTCAAAGGCCTTTCTGCCTGTCTCCCTTCCTTCCTCCCTCTTTCTCTTCCTTTTCTTCCCATTAGCTACAAAAAACTACTGGAGACTGAGGTACCTCTTTTGTTCTTTCCTCTTTGTAAAGTTTATATACAAAATGTTCCCCCAAAGGCTCATGTGTTGGAGACTTGGTCCTCAAATAGTAAATCCAGTCATTGAGAGGTGGAGATTAGGGAGCTGGAGAGATGGTTCAGAGGTTAAGAGCACTGGCTGCTCTTCCAGAGGTCCTGAGTTCAATTCCCAGCAACCACATGGTGGCTCACAAAATTTTTTAATAAAAAAAAAAAGAGAGGTGGAGATTATGGAGGCCAATAGGTATATCAATGTGTTTACCTGGTAGTGAATTCATAATAAGTGGGCTATGAGGAGGTAGGTTCTGGCTGGAGGAGTGGGTCATGGAGGGTGCCTCTTTGAAGAGGATATCCCACCTTGACTCCTTCCGGTTCCTCTTCCTTTCTGCTTCCTGACCATCATGAGGCAGTCATCCATGCTCCACAGACTCCTTTCCAATATGATGCTTTGCCTTTAACACAGGCCCACTCCAACAAGACCAAATGACGGTGACCCAAGATCTCTAAAACCAAAAGCCAAAAGAAAATGCTGGGAGTCTTTCTTGTCAAGACCGCCAGCCTCCAAATAATGACATAGAGACTTATTATTAATTATGAAAGCTTAGCCTTAGCTTAAGCTTGTCCCATTGGCTCTTATAACTTAAATTAACCTGTTTTTATTAATTTGTGTTCTGCCATGCGACTTTTTACCTCTCCTTCATTCTGTATGTCCGACTCCCTCCATGTCTCGCTAGAAACTCTCGTGTGCCTCAGATTCTTCCCCAGTTCCTCTCTTATCCCCAAAGTCCTGCCTATTCTCTCCTGCCTAGCTATTGGCCATTCAGCTCTTTATTACACCAATCAGAAGACACCTTGGCAAAGACATGTCTTCACAGTGTTCAAAAAGATTATCCCACAACTAGAAGTCTCTTCTTAAGTTGTTCTCATCAAAAGGTTAGTGAACACACTGCTGAATTGTACTCTCAGCTTATAAAGAACAGAGGCCATGTTTGACTTTCCTATTATTCCCTGGCACAGAGCCTGGCACTGGCCACTAAACAAACAGTAGGTGCTCCGTGTTTGTTGAATGTATTGAGCTTCTACATTGAATCCTGTCCTGTGCTTCTGAAGATGGAGGGATAGAAAGATAGATGGATGGATAAATGGATGGACAGATGGATAGATGAATGGGTAGAAGGATGAATGGAAGGATTAGTAAATGGATGGATGGATGGATGGATAGGAAGATGGATGGATGGGTGGGTGGATGGATGGATGGATGGATGGATGGATAGGAAGATGGATGGATGGGTGGATGGATGGATGGATGGATGGATGGATGGATGGATGGATTGATAGATGGATGGATGGATGGATAGAAGGATGGATGGATAAATGGATGAATAGATTGGTGGGAGGGTGGATGGATTAATGAAAGAAAGGATGGGTGAATGACTGGAAGGGTAGAAGGATGCATAATAAGAAAACACATGGATAAACTGAGAAATCTGAAAAGAGTTTAATCAAGAACCGCTTAAAAAGTGGAAGATGGAAGCTTAGGGAAGTCATTCAGGCAGGAAATGAATTCAGGTCCCTGAGATAAGAAAGAGAAAGTGGGCACCACCCCCAGTGCTGACAGAATAAAGGGGGGGGGGGAGTGATGAATCAAGTCCCAGCGGGAGGAGCTGTCAGAGGGAGGCTCTGGCTTCTGGTGGAGGAAAACAGGCAGGCCAGGCAGGAGGAGACCGACCTTGACTCTTTCTGGTTGTCATCCTATGGTCAGAACTCAGTAGGAAACCAGAGAGCCAAGGGCATATAGATACGGTTACTAGGAATCAGCTTCCCTGGGATTCAGGCAGGGAAAAGAATGAAAAGTGGTCCTAGAAGAACACAGATCCTGTCCTCTGACCAAGTGATTTGTGAGTTACACATCGTAAAGTCAACACTTTAAAAGAAAGATGTTTGGATGTACCCCCAAAACACAGTGCAGGAAGTGCCAAGGTCTGTGTGATTCTAGAGTGGGAGTGTTCTCACTGGGGCCAAAGCGGAAGCTTCCTGTGGGGAGGAGGGGAAGAGGGTCTCAGGGGAGCCCTGTTTCTCCCTGTGCCAGTCTTGCTCCCACTGGGGGCCTGGATTTCCTGGACTTCTGGAAAATGGCTCAGAAAAAAGAAAAGGAGGCCAAAGTGAGGCTTTTCACTCTGCTCTGGGTCTGTGCTGGGAGCTGGGATGATCTCAGTGGACATTTCCCCACACCTCCACTGGCAATCTCCGGTCCGGCAGTCATTCCCTTTATCAGTGGAACTCACTTCCTAGTGCACATGCTCACACCTGTGCACGAATGTATAGACACGTGTTCACACACGTACACCTAACTTTCCACTCACTGACTAAATTTAAAGTAGGCATTATTAGATATCCTTGGTGTTTTTTTGTTTGTTTGTTTGTTTGGTTGGTTGGTTGGTTGGTTGGTTTTGATTTTGGTTTTTTGAAGACAGAGTTTCCTGTGTAACAGTACTGGCTGTCCCAGAACTCTCTCTGTAGACCAGGCTGACCTCAAACTCAGAGATCTGCCTGCCTCTGCCTCCTGAGTGCTGGGATCAAAGGCATGTACTACTACTGCCACGCCACGCTTATTAGATATCCTTGTTTCAAGACTAGGGGAAACTGAGGCACAGAAGGAGTAAAGAATTTCCCCAAGATGACTCACGCTCTTAACTATTCTTACACATGTGCATACAACATACTGATACGTTCAGATTTACCTAATATCACAAAGACCGTACAAGTAAGTATTCACCAGCCTGTATATAAGTATTTGTTTAATGAATAAATGATATACATGAATAAAAACTGAGAAACTAGCCATAAGAAACCACTGTTGCTAGAGAGATTAAAAATTGTCCCAAGTTTCCCTCCAACTGGTTTCTGAGATGGGATGGGACGCCGCTCTCTGGAGGGTATTGCTCAGATGTCTGGAACTGCCAAGGGTTGGAGATTCGGCAGCTGAGGGCTGTTTCATTCAGCTCAGTTCTGCTGAGGCATTTTTTGGGTAAACCTTCACTCAAAGAGATGAGTCTTTACTCATCAAAATGTATGAAAGCCAGAGATTCAAACAGGCTCTGATCTCAGTTCCTGCTCAGAGAAACTGTGATCTAGATGGCAGCCATCCATCCTCCATTAAGGGCACTATCTAAAGCAGCTAGGCATTGCCACCCTTCCAGCTACCTCAAACCACCCTCATCAACAGTCACACAGTTCCCAAAGTAACTTTAACTCAAAATACACCAGAAGGATCCCTGACCCGGTACCATTTCCCAAGTCCAGAACACTTGAGTACACAGAAAAGCAGGCAGTTGGTGTCTGAGGAGACAGACAGCGATGGGGATACGCATAAAGCCTTTCCCTGCTGTCTGACATGGAGAGGACGTGGGAGGACAGAGCTCTCCTGGGCCCTACCAAGCCATCGCTAATATTTATCCTGTGTTTGGCAAGTTCCAGGTCAATACTAAACACCTTTGAGGTGTTAGCTCATCATCCCTTGGCAGGAGTCCTGGGAGGCTGGCCTGCTCTCCAGGTGAGGACACCAAGGCATGGAAGGAGCAGCTGCTGGCTGAGCTCAAACAGGACCATGGGTGAAGTTCGTGACAGGGTCAGGGCGACAGCTTCCGTTGGCTCAATGTACCCTTTTGTAGTTGGCTTCCCATCCCACGTGAGGTCATGGGGCTCTGGACAAGCGACCAAGAGACAACCACCTACAGTGTTTGCCAAACTCTGAGAAGTCTGGTGTCCCTTGAGGGTGGAGGATCAGAAGGTTATGGAAGCTGTGCAGGCAGGACTCCAGCACCTGTCCACCAAGGCAATCTGAGAATCTAGCATGTGTGTTTCTATTCCTGGCACAGGGGCTCCCATGGCCATCAGTATAAATCTCCACTGATTGCTAAAAAGCTCAAGAGTCAGTTAGAGCAGCTTGTACCTAACATCTCTGCACCCAACAGGCAGTTTAAGGTTAGTCTGAGCTACACAGCAATATTCTATTTGTTAACAACAAACAAAAGACAGGCCAGGCCCAAAGGCTCAGAAAGGGAGGTGACTTTATGAAGGTCGTATAATTAGAAGGCAGAGTTGCTACGGGAGCTTAATCATTCTGCCCTCAAGCCTGGGTCACAGCGGGTTAAGAGGCTGCCTGCGAACCTGTTTCTGACTATAAAAGTGGTGCCCTGGAGTGATGGGAGAGGGATAGGGCAGGAAGATGCAGCACAATATTGGTCCTGAAGTTGTACCTGGAGACCACTTGGCCAGGTTTCAGCCACTCTACCCTTACATTTGACAGTGCACACTGCATCTAGTCACAGGGCCCAGAACTTTGCAAGAAAGGCGGTGGTACAGTTGTGCATACACGTGCGTGCATGTGTGTGTGTGCGAGCGCATGCGCACACACACACACACACACACACACACACACACACGTGCGCACACGCATGAAGGCCAAACCTTGATGTTTTAGTATTGGTCTTCATCTAACACTCTCACCCTGTTCTTTTGACAAAGGGTCTCTCATTGAACAAGGAGCCCTCTGTTTTAGCAGACTGTTAGACCAGCTAGCCCCTGGTATCCACCTGTCTGCTCCTCCAATATTGCAGTTACAAATACACGCTGCCCTGGCTATATATGGAAGCACTTGACCCACAGAGTCACCTCCCCTGACTCCACCTAGCACAGTCTTTAACCTTCCAATATTGCTGTCTCTGCAGTCTAGATCAGCTGCAGCCTGCCAAGAATTCTAATGGGATCAATGGCATCCAAGGGTGACTTTGAGAGAGAACAGAAAGGGGTCTGAAACAGTTCACTCAGTGACAGTGGCATCAGGGCAAGGTTAATATTCTGCAGGCAAATCATCTGCTTTGAAAATTCTGCTCACGTGTGTTATAGAAACCTGCTTGACATCATGGATACCCCTGATTTTCTGATGTTTGCTAGAGAATCTGAATTCTTTGTCCTGAGTATCATGACCCACTTTAGTTATAACCGACCAAAAGATAGCTTTTCCCCATGGGCTTGTGTCACACACACAGCGTAAGAACTGGAGCAGGACTCAGTCCTGGGAAGATTGCAGATCTGGCTTGAGCCCTCTGCTCTGCCACTAACCCATTAGGGGCCTCTGATTCCCTATGTATCTGGTCTTTACAGCTCACTAACCATTCCAGGCTGACAATCAGGTCACTGTGTATTCCAGGTTGGTCCTAAATTCACAGTGATCCTGGGCTCTCCCTCTCCCAAGGGCTGGGACTATAGGCAAGAGCAACCATGACCAGGTAAACAGGGAGTTATAGGGGACCTGGGCTTAAAAGATGAGTAGGTCTTTGGTCGTGACAAAAGAGGCAGACTTTTGTAGAGAGACAAGAACAGCTCAGAAAGGGCGTGGTCAGGGGAGGAACTAAGGGCAGGAGGACCCCGTCTTCCACCACTCACCACCACCACCACCCTGACCTCTGCAAGGAAAGAGAGATGATGTGGACAAGGCCTT